ATATATATATATATATATATATATGTATATACATATGTAATGTATGGTAGCCATAATATCACTGTATTTTGTAGGCCAATACAGAGTTATGCCTACTGAATGTGTGTTATTCTAATTGTCTAAATTGAGGTGAAATAAAAGCAATTTATACAACATTAGTGACTTGATAACTTAAAACCTGGTTTATTCATAACATTTAGAAAGATAAAGTATTTTTCAAATGTTGGGAAAAAAATGGGAAGACTAGACTTAGAAGGCTTGTGAAACTACAACCGACACTAAACGAGTATGTTAGGTATTACTGGAACCTGAGTTGTTATTGGCTGATTATTAAATGTGCTGAAAACGGGAATAGGATTTTATAAGCATGTGCTCAAATAACATCTTTGTACACCTATGCTACTAAATTCCGAACATCCCAAAAGGATTACCAATATTCAAAGAATTGCGATGTTTACTGTATCGGCACCGAACCATATAATAAACGTTTTGACAGCTTCAAAGTACAGTTTTATTACTCTGGCAAATTCTAGTTGTAAACACTGCAGGATATATATATATATCGATAAATTCCACAATCTGTTGTCAGCATAAACGTTTTCACTGATTCTAAGTGCAGTGTAATTACTCTGAATTTTCCAAGAAAACATTGTAGGGTATATAATCTGATACATTAAACATCCTGTCAAGTTGGCTATCTCTTAGCATGTGCTTTGTTGCTTTCGAGGGTATTGTATTACAGTGTCACATAAACAGCCAACTGACACAAGTGTCGATTTACTGCTTTATTTTCAGCGAGTTTCTACTTTAGTCACTGACAGTAAAATAAACACAGAAAATAAATATGAAATATTTAGTAGTTCAAACTCTCACGAAAAGTACTTTGAAATTTCATGATCAGTAATAAAAAATTTCTGATTTTACAACATTTCATTATACTTTGGTGATTTGTCTACAGGCTGAAGTATTAAGTATATAATGATGTAAAGGTAATAATAGATAAAATATGAAGTTTTACTGAAAAAAAAGTATTATATGTATTTAGGAGGTTTTAGAGGTAACACAAATGAAATTTGACATTTTTGAGACAAAGAAAAATATTTTTAATCTTAAAATGAAAATACCTTTGCACTCAGACTTGGCAAAATAAAGATTTGATATATTCACGGACAAATCTTCAGTAAAAATCCTTCATTAGAAAATCTGATTTTTTGTATACAAAAACTTGTAATGTTTACTAAAAGTCTGCCAAAATTTCTGAATGTACACATACTGTATTAAAAGTTATGGTATAGAAACTATAACAAGTAAAAGTGGTTATGAGTCGATTAATTTGACCGAACCCATGTGGGGAGAATTAAGTGATATCCAGAATATTTGTAACATTATAGCTATGACAAAAGAAAACAACTATTATAAAACAATGTACCCCCCCCCCTCAGTTCATTGTTATACAATTTCGGCATTTGATGGTCAGCAAAGTGATCTGAAATGCAAATGCTCATTTGGCCTACATTATATACATATATAATAATTTCACACAACCTTATCTAATTCTTTATCACTTTGAATTGAATCATAGAGCTTAAAGTGATTTAGATTGTTCATGAACCAATGCTAGACCTCAAAGACGTTTGGACATTTTGCTCAAATGGGTGAATGGAAGCTGACCAACCATAACAGGCTGTTTCAAATTAGGTACAAATGTGTCAGAATGTGTAAGCATTTCCAAACTGACGGTTCAATTGTCTGATCACCTGGACTTTATAACTACAAGTAGAAAACTATATTCTCTTGATTCTTGCTTACTGAAGTCATAAGGTACCTTCTCTTTAACTGAATTACATGTTTACAGCAACAGTTTTATAAATGATTAGAAATGGATTTCTTAAGGCCAGTTTGCATACTAGCCAATACTATTGAGGTGCATTGAATTGCATCTCTTTCACAGCAAGTCACAAAACAGCTTGCCTTCAGTGAACTGACAACATGTGAGACAACACTTTTAAATGATGAGTTGCAGCCAGATAACAGGTGTATGCATATTTGAAGAGAATCTGGAACCAGATCTAATGCTGTTTTGTTACAGGTATGTGATGTATATGGTAGTGGCAGAAGTGTTGGTTAGGATATAATGGTGAACATAAAAACCTGTAAATCCTTCAGAATAGTACTGTTAATGATACACATTATGGGGGCCTCATCCAAGATTCTTCATGCAGCCACATATTAGTGCAATTAGTCTTGGCATCAGTCTAATGAATGACAATGCATGCTGTCTATGCTAACTAGGCTAACACATTTCTTAAAGAAGAACTGATTGGTTAAATAAAATGGTTAGCACCCTTACTGGACTTCAATCTCATCAAGCTTGTATGGGATATTACTGGAAGATGTGTTGATCTTACCAAATGCTTCCAAACACTAAAAAGGTCCTGAAAATAACTTTCTTCAGAAGAGTGATTTAGAATATCTCACAACCTTATTAACACTGTAATTAAACATGCCAAGCTGCATTCTCTGTTCATGTTGGCTATACACCATAGTAAAATGAATGTCATGAACACAAAAAATGTAAAACTACTTATACCAAATATGCATTTACTAGTGGGGAGACTACATGAAAAATCCTTCGCATTTCAAATTACATTATGAATCATCAGATGACTGGTTTACATAAAAATGAGAGTGGTATGTGATAGATGTTATTTTATAACAGCATTTTTTGTCTTACCATATGTAAAATATTATAAATTTTAATTATTCTTTAACTGTTTAGTTAATTGTAGATGTTAGATCTTCAGTTAGAAGCAGATATATTTAACTATTTTCATTTTCCCAAATGATTTTGCATGTGCTCATATGATGAATATTTAAAATATCTCTGACATTTGTAAAGTTTCTGCACAGAAAAAAAGAGCAAACATCTAGATATTTTTCTTGAGGTCTAACCATGGTCCATGAATGCTTGGGAGCACTTTGAATTGAAAGTGCTGGTATTTCATCATTAGGATAGTGTTAATAAATAAATGCACTATTAATTCCCATTGGGTGTTTTAAGTACTCTACAATCTTTCTTTGTGGTGTCCTTGTGGGGATATTCATTGTTATTCCCTCATGGGTCTCTTTAGTGAATTGGCCCTGTTCCTGTTGGTGTATATTGCATCAGATGTAGCTTCACTATCATCAGCCACAGTATTTTAGAAGCTTTATATTATGTTTGTATATAGTACCACTCAAAATTTTTCATTTTTCCACTAATTTTTACTTTTTCAATTTTTGTTATTAGATGGTATTTTCCTTGTGCACAACCCTTTCTTATGTAGGTTTGGCTAGTGTATCCAATTTGATACGTTTTTAATTTTTGTATTGTGCTTTTTTACAGTTCAACATGTACTGAAAGGTTAATACTTCTTTTTTCCTGATTGAGATAGATGGTGTCTTCTTCATTCTTTGTCTTCATTTGTTGTTTGTGGAGTTGCTATGTATTTTTGAAATTAAAATGGAATTTATTTCAATACATACCTTTTAAAAGACACATTTCTCTTCACCCTCATCCTGCATTAGGATGTCTGAAAAGTGTGACCTTGCAGCTAGCATATATCAGAAGAAACACTGTGCAAGTACATATTATGAGGGGGGGGGAGTTGCTGATTGGTGGAAGGGTAATTTTATAAATTTGATAAGACTTTGATGATGAATAAAGTCACAATATGGAATATCCTTGCCTTAACATTTAAAAACTGGCTCAAGTATATGTATGTATATTATTGTTGAAATTTATTTTGTCAACATGAAACTGTATTCTTCTGTCATATTGAATTTATATTTTAATTTTCTGTGAATATGGCTATTTGTATGCTAGCACATGAGCTATATAATGATTTTCATAAGTTAATTTAGTTTTAAGTATAATGAATGACTACATAAATTTTAAATGTTGATTATTAAGATTTATATACTTTATTAGCAGGTTTAGTGTGTGAGTGTTTTTAATTAAAATGTTCTTATGTTATATCTTCACATTTGACTTGAAAGTCTGTAGCTATTCTTTAAATAGACATTAGTCATCATTACTATCAGAATTATTATTTTTGAATCATTATCTTGACTTAAAAACAAGCTCTTTTTTGTATTACAGAGGCAACTCTAAGTACCATTATTATGGTATCCGTGTGAAGCCAAACTCTCCATTAAATCAAATATCAGAAGATTCCAATTCCTCTGCACTGAGACAGCAACCTGTTAATCCAGCAAAAAGGTGTTTTTGTTTTTGATATTAACATAGAAATGTAATGTGAGGTTTAGAAAGCATTGTTACTTGGATACTTTTTGAGATTAAGTAATTTTTACTTTTGGTCAATATAATATGAATAATTCAGTAGTGATCAACAAGGATAAAATTATGCTGAATATTTTATCATATACCAAAATATTTTGGAAATGAGGTGGATAGTTTTATTTAGTGTTATAATTAGATCTTAGTTAAAGTGCATAATGATTAAAAGTTGAACTTTAGAACTCAACCTTGAATTTAAGGAAATATTATATATGGAAATATCATGCTTGATAAAAGAGTTAGCAAAAAGGATCACATATAAAGTGTAATAAACTTAAAATAAGACCCAAAACTTTCAAATAGTTGACTATTCTTCTTCAGGAGAACAAAGGAAATATCATGGATATTTAGTGAGAAATATGCAATTTTTGTTTTATAGTAAGTTAAGCTAGGAATGTTATGTGGTTCGATAGGATAACGTAGGCTACACATTCCCCAAGTGATATACAATGATATAAAGTGATATAAATTTATGTGAAGCAGATGTATACTGCTATGAGTTTAAAACTATTCAGGATAAATAAATGGAGTTTCTTGTTACAGTTTGAAGTCATTCTAGAAAGATAAAAAAGGATAATTGATTTATTTCATTTTTTTTTTTTGTGATTACAAAGTCAATCAAATTGACCATCCTAGTATAGAGTTACAATAGAGAAAATAACAGCTAAGATATAAAATTTTACTGAAAAAAACATTTGAAATTTATTTAATAGCTTTTAGAGATTACACAATTGAAATTTATGATTTTTCAGATGAAGAAAAGTATTTTTTATCTTAATGTGAAAATCACTTTGCACTTGGAAAAGTCAACACTTTGACTCTATATGTTCGTGGAAAAGTTTAGTGAAAATACTTCATTAAAAATTCTGATGTTTTGTCTACAAATGACACTTAATGACTAATGAAAATTTGCAAAATTTCATAAAGATACACAAACATATTGGAAGTTATAGTGTGGAAACTGTAAAGTTTAATTTGGAATCAATTTTTAGGTTGCATTTACCAAGCCCTTAGCGAGAGAGTTAAAATAAAATACTGTTTTTAATTCATGCATTTGTGTAGAGCTATTTTGTGATCGATGGGTTATCAAGGTTCCTGCATACTTAGCTATAGTTTTAAAACCTAGAGGCCTTCTAGTGACTAGTGAGATTAAACTCAAATTTGACTTTTGTAAACATTTTAAGCCACAGACCAACATAATAAGTAGTATGAAATGAATAAATGTTTGTTTTATTTAGATTTAAAATATGAAATGAACAAAAATCTGATTTCAATATTTATCATCCTAGTAAAAGTAAATTTGTCTTTAATTTCAGCTATGATTCTGGTTTGTAAAGATATTAATTACAGAACATTTATTAACACCTTTCTTTTTACTTTTACTTGCATAAAAATTTACAGGTGTATATTATTTCCAGTTTATTGTGATTTATCAGTATTGAAAAAAAGAGCTAGTTTCATTTGAGAGATAATTGTTCATGCTATATCAATGGCCAAAAATACCTATAATAGCAAGAGTAACCAACTGATGAATTACTTGTTAAGCACCTACTTCTTTCAATTAGAAAGTTATAGGATTATAATGATTTCAAGCATTCTTCCTTCAATTGAGGTGTCATCGTATACCATTTGGTACATCCATATATTGAATTGTAATAGCAATGTAGATAAATGGAAAAAAGGATGACCACAATGATTTTTGGTTCAATAAAATATAAAATTTTACTAGTTACTTAAGCTGACTAGTTTTGGTAACAGAGTTACCATTATCAGGGATGTGAATATCTGTGTTACCAAAACTAATCACCTTAAGTAACTTATAGAGCTTTATGTTTCATTGTGCCAAAAATTGTTGGTTTCATCCTTTTGTTTATCCACAATATTCATAAAAAAGAATTATGTAACAATAATGTCTAAATATCCAAGTTTTAAATTGAAAGAAATATGTTTTTTTTTCTTCTTTAGATGCTTGATGCCATAATTACATGTAATTTGCATTTAAACATTAAAATTTCAAAATGGACCAATACAATCATATTTTAAGTAAAAGATTAGCTACAGAATTCAAATAGTGTTCAAGCCATAAATTGGTATTTGGAGGAATTGTTATTGCTATATTAGTTTTAACTATAAATATAAGATATGAATTAAAAGTTTCACATTTACTGTTAATTAGATTTCAATTGACCATACTGATCAACAAATTCTATCAATTAATAACATTTATTTGAATTACTAATCTATAACCCATCAAAAATTATGAGGCAAGTACTACCACCCCCACCCCATTGTATACCCTAACATCACATTTCATAGCTAACTGAAATAAATAAATTTTGTGAAATCAAGCTTGACCAACCAATAGGCAGAAAAGTGCAGTCGAGGCAGTCAAAGATTGGTAAATTCCTTTGTGATCCAATCAAAATTAAGATCATTCATGAAATGGATTTGTGGTGTATTCATAGAATAATTATTGGTAAAAATAAATTAGATTAACAACTTCTAATATATAGAAAAGTCTGTGCATTTTGGTAACACTACATTCCAACAATGGCTTTTATGTCATATAAACTACTATTGTTGTTAGTCTATGTATTGAAAGTATAAAATGAAATATATACACAACAAAACTGGAAAAATATTTGTTGATTTCTTAATTTAGAGTCTCCATTGATTAAATAGGTTTGTTTTATATTAAAAACGTTTGTGATATAACAGAAAATAGCTTAATTCAGAATGATTTGAGTTTAAAATTGAATTGATATTTTTACTTTCATGATAAATTTTATGCACTTGGCTATAGGCTAGGTGATCACACATTGTGTCTTTATTTTAGGCTTATTTTACAAACACTTACTATGCTGATAAGGTTTCCATGCACTCCCCCCTATCCATTCTCATGGCCCCCTTGCACCTCTGTCACTAAAATCATAATGGGCAGATAGTAATCGGACTATTCTATCTGGATAAATGCATTTTGGCTTTTATGACTCCTCCTATTTCAAGAAATCAAGCATGATGTGAAGTGATATACACTGGCTTTTATAGAAGTTAGATTATTGTTAAGGTGATAGAATGTTTAATCTGCAGTTTAGCTAAACTTTAAGTCTGTGCTAATTCAATTTTTTGTAAATTCAGGAGATGGGTATTTTGAAGTAATAAACCAAAGATAGGCTGGCAAACTGTGGGTGATGCCAACAATAACCTGACATAGATTTATTATAATAATTTAACCTGAAGATTTTCAGAGTGAAGCTTAATTTTGACCAAATAGTAGTTTAGATTCAGGTGAAATTATGTTCATCATAATTATAATAGTAATAATAATGCATGAATATCTGTCCACACTTAACACCTTGCAATCAGATAAACTAGCATTTCTGCTATATTGGTTAGTCAGTTGAACAAGAGGTAGAGAGTTTTAATATCCGAGTCTGTCATTGGTATAGTAAATCACATGACTGATGTCTAAATTTATTCTGGTATTCTTATTTCTAGGTTCAAATCAAATACCTTTAAGTCAGAAAACTTGGAAGGAAGCAGGGGGTCATGTGTGACTAATGTTTCATCTCATTCTACTGATGGCATTTCATCACAGCAGCAGCAACCAGCTCCTCATCAACACCAGCATCAACAGTATCTAGGTGATGCTTCTGCTGCTATCCCAAACCTTGATCTGGAAACCAGTAGCCTCAGGCTTCCAGATGATATTGAAATAGAAGATGTACATGCATTCAAAGTACTGTACAAAGAACACTGTGAGGTGTGTATACTGGTTCATCTTTGATAAATCTAATGTGAACTGGAAATTAATTTAAAATCTATGAAAAGTACATACCAGATGGGTGAGATTTTCTGATCCAGGTATTGAATTAGTAATATTAAAACTTAGAAATAATTTTGTCATTCAACATTTCAAATTAGTCTTGTAATAGCAAGTAATTAAATTGTGAAATTTGTTTTAGTTTTTTTGAACAGTTATTTTTTGAAGTGTATATTGTTTTTCATTATTGTTGTACTAAATGTTTTCTGTGAAAGCTCCTATGAAAAGTATTTGCTTTTCCATGATATTTATTGAACATAAAATGTAAAATATGGTAGAGGAAAATTTTAATTCTCTAGCTGATGGTAATTTTATTCTTATTACATTTAAAACTTATAATACATCATAATAACTTCTAGGCAAGCAGTAAAAACCTAGATATATGTATGTTTTGTAGCCCTTATGCTTTTACATTGGTAATAGTATATGGAAGATACTAATGTTAAACCTATCTTTTCAGAATAAACTTGTGAACTTTAACATATCATGTAAAATATAAACTTAACAACAAATGAAGTAAACCAAATCTGTAATTTCATGTAATTGTGGTGTTAACTGTAACTTCAAACCTTTTTTCTTTCCTCCATTGGAATTGACTAATTCCAATGCGTCTCTCATGCAAATCATCATGCGTCAACCCTCCACCAATAAGAGTCTGACATATTCTCATTACTTATGTGACTCCCTCTATTCAATTTTACCTAACTATCACTTCTTGTTTGGCAGTACTTGTGTTCATATGTTTTTCTGTTGGTGCTTTTTGTGTGCTTCACACTTGTAAATTTAATAGTTTCATTTTCAAAGTGGGATTTCTTCATTAATTTTTTTTGTTATATTGAAAATGCCTTTTACTTTAACTTAATTTCCCAGTCTTAATCTTTTTTTTCTCTCGCATTTGCATTTGCCTATAAAATGGAGTTAAATCTGACAAGTTACAAGCGGTGTGCCTCAGGGCTGTGTTGGGTCCTCTGCTGTTTGTGATTTATATTAATGATATTGACTCTGGAATGACTAACAGAATTTTTAAGTTTGCAGATGTCATTAAGATTTTTGGGGTGGGTAACTGTATCAAAGATGCTGCAGATTTACAGGGAGAGTTCGATCATTTGATGCATTGGGCCAATACATGGCAGATGATGTTTAACTATCCAAAATGTAAGGTGATGTAAGTAGGTTTTCACAATTCCAATTATTGTTACAATTTAAATGGGAATACATTTGGTTGAAGAAAAAGATCTTGATGTTGTGATAAAAAATCACTTAAGTCATCTAAACAGTGTATTGTAGCTAGCAATAGAGCTAATAGGGTTTTGGGTAGCATTTATAGAAATATTGACTACAAGGCAAGGGATATTATTGTTTCACTGTATAGATCACTTGTAAAACCTCATTTAGAGTAATGTGTACAGTTTTGGGCTTCATTCCTCAAAAAGGGCATTGAATTGTTGGAGAAGGTTCATAGAAGAGCCACTAGAATGATACCTGGGATGGTGAGATTGTCCTTTGAGGAGAGACTAAAAATCTCTAAACTTGTTTTCTCTGAAGAGGAGAAGGGTGAGAGGGGATTTGATTGAGGTGTTTAAGGTTATTAAGAGTATTGATAATATAGATCCATCAAACTTTTTTGTGTTTAGCAGTGAAAACAATAAGACAAGGGGTCATAAATTCAAATTTTGGCACCATAGGAGTGGTATGCAGTTTAGACAGTATTACTTTTCAAACAGGGTGGTTGGCTTTTGGAATGAGTTGCCTTCAAATGTGGTGGAGGCAGAAAATTTAAATGAGTTCAAGAAAATATTGGATAAATACATGAGTAGTAAGGGGTTGGGAGCTAGAAGGGACATCCTTGATGGGCTAGGCCTGGCATGGCCAGGTGGTTAGGGAGCTCGACTCACAATCTGAGGGTTGCGGGTTCGAATCACCGTCACACCAAACATGCTCGCCCTTTCATCCATGGGGGGTGTTATAATGTGGCAATCAATCCCACTATTCTGGGATAAAAGAGTAGCCCAAGAGTTGGTGGTGGGTGGTAATGACTAGCTGCCTTCCCTCTAGTCTTACACTGCTAAATTAGGAATGGCTAGTGCAGATAGCTCTCGTTTAGCTTTGCATGAAATAAAAAAACAAACAAACAATCAAACTTGATTGGCTAATAAGCTCCTTTTTATCCCTTGAAAATTTTATGAAATTTATGAACATTTTTGTTTGATTCATATTTTTGAAATGAATTCTGAGGTTCATGTTACCACATTGGGTATCATACCTCCTACAAGCACTCTTTCACAGGCTGCAGGTAGGGGTTACCCATTGTTGGATTTATCAGCAATTATCCATTGAGAGATTGATCGTTATATGGGTCAACCACCTTTTCCTGAACTTTCCCCATTTCCTCCTGAACAAGCCAAACCTGTTCGGGCCAATGAAGATTTTGATAACCTTTTTCCACCACCAGATTTTGGCATGTCTTCCTATGTCCAACCTGCAAAATTAGCTAGTCTTAATACGTCATTTTTATACATGATTTCTCAAGTATGTGGTGTTTTATCCATTTCTCCAATTTCCTATGATCTCCGTCCTTCTTTGTCACATGATAGTTCTTCCTCTCTTTGTTTAGTTTTTCCCACCCTCCCCTCCTTGGATATTAGGGTTTATGCTGAGCAATTTGCTTCACAATTGACTGAGGGTGCCAGTATGCCTCGCCCCCCATGGCCTACAGGTCAGTTCTCTTTGGCTTACCATCAAGAAGCTGACTGTCTGTTTCTCGACTCTCAGCAGTTGGGGTCTATTTTACCTGTGTGTGTGTGTGTGTGGTCCATGATCATCCTGTGCATTTAACCCATGCCCTATTTTTATATCTTCATCTTACCCTTACTTTACTTCTACATTATTTATCCACCATCCATCTCCTTTCCAAGGTGATACACTGAGATCTTGGGTTTTTTCAAGGGACAGGCTGTCCCTTATTACCTCCACATTGGCTCATTTGTTGTCTTTGGCTCTTGCTTTACACACATTGATGTTCTGTTGTTGGGATCTTCTGGGTTCATTTGCTGCTCATTTATCTATGGGATTTACGCATGGACCCTTTTCTTTGGTGGTATATTTTCGACCATGTACCTGAGACTTTGGAGTCTATGCATCAACATTCTACCCTTTCCTCTTTGGTAGCTCACTTGTCACATTCATGAAAAGCTCCTATTCCTGTTTCCTCTCCTAGTCCTTCTCAGCCCTTACCTGTTCCTCATCTCATTTTTTTATTTGAGGTAGATAGGCACGGCGCCAACAGTACCAATGACTACCCAGTGGGTTTTGGTCTGGTGGGAGCTTGATTGTGCAAATTTGTTCCCTTTTAGTGATCTTTCGCCACAGATCAGTGGGTTTTTTTGGTTTTATCAGAGGGACTTGTCCTCCAATTTCTTTCCCCCCTTCCTTTGTCTCAGGTACCCATTTCCTTCCCTATGCCTCGGGATCCTATCACCTGCCAGTGCCTGTCAGAGGTGATACAAGACCTTTTGTTTCATCAGGCTATCAAACCTGTTCATCATCTTTCTCCAGGCTTTTATTCCAGGCTGTTTACTGTCCCTAAAAAATCCGGAGACTGACAGCCTGTAATAGATTTGTCCCGCCTCAATCAATTTCTCAGTTTACTCTATTTTACTGTATAATCGTTTCTCATGCTCAGGTGGGCTTTTTCTCCAGGTTTGTGGATGACCAAGATGGACATTGCAAATACTTATTTGCATATCCTGATATCTCATCAGTCACAACCACATCTTTGGTTTGTTCATCACAGGGTGGTTTATCAGTTTTGTGCACTGTCCTTCGGGCTTACATTGGCTCTATATGTTTTTTATCAGGTGGTCAAATTGGAGAAGTCATTCCTTAAACCTACCAAGTATCTTGTCCATTTGGGTGTTTTTTTTTTCAACACCTATCTCAGTTGGGTCCAATCTTTTCCTGTTTTACTTTGTTCTATGGAGCCTTCAGTTCTCCACAATCTTACTGGTTAAAAGGCCTAAAAAATTAAAATGTTGTCTGGGCCTATTTGAACAAGGTATAACATTTCTCCAAGTTTCAGGACAATACACCGAGAAATGACGGATAGATGGTCAACTGAAAAGTGTTTGAAAGAAGAAGAAACAATAGAAATATAGTACGTTTCTCTCCGGAGACATAAAAAGACACATTGATGTTTAATAAGTCATCAGAACTCAAGGATAGTCAAAACTGTAGTCTCCAATTTATTTATATATCTCCAATTTATGAATTTTGCCAACAAGATTGATACACACAGTTTTCATTTTTTTAATACAAATATATTTTAATACACAAAAATAGTACAATTACAATAACAGGTATTACAAATAGTTATTACAAACAATGATTTATATACAAAAGTTTTCAAACTTACAAGCAATACAAAGTCTTCTTTCTAGTCTGTAACTTCCTTGATGTCTTATCGAAGGTTCTCGATGAGCGAGTTAATTTCAAGTTGACGTGAGGTTCTATCACTTTTGGGGATGTGGTCTTCCATGGCATCCCTTAGGTTGGGCTTTTCAAGACCAGTGGAATCTTGCATGAGAGTTTTTGCAGGCTCTAATTACCCTTCCTCGTACTATAGTTTACTATCTGCAATGGTAGTTGGACAGGACTCGCACATTGGCAGGTGTCCCTCTTCCTCCTCCTCATCCAGATTTACACATTTTCACGGTTGCATCCCTTCAAGGATGGGGAGCGTGGGTCGATCAACAGGAAGCTTCAGGGTATTGGTCTGCGGCCAAGAGGTCTTATTACATCAACATCCTGGAGTTTCTTGCTGTACTTTGGGCTTTGGTTCATTTTCTGCATGTGGCCAGAAATCATCTGGTAATGATCCATTTCCAACAATTCCACAATGGTTGTTTATCTCTCTCTATATTCATATATTAGATCTTCATTTTTGGTTCCACATGCAAGATATTCATATCATTGCGAGTCATGTTCTTGGTGCTTTCAGTGTTGTTGTGGATCGGCTTTCCCATCCAAACAAAATCTATAAAATGGAGTGGTCTCTTGATCCTCTTGTTTTCCAGTGGCTTTGCCTTCAGTGGGGTACTCCTCACAGAGATGCTTATGCCATGTCCCTCAACCACAAATTACCTCAGTTTTGGTTTCTGGTCCCTCATCTTCTTGCTCCGGCTGTCAATGCTTTCAGCCAGTATTGGACCAACAAATACCTATATGTTTATCCTCCCATTTGACTTCTTCACTGGGTGATTTCAATTATCCATACCACTCTGTGTCAAATCTATCTGATTGCTCCTTACTGGAAGGCTCAGCCGTGGTTTCCGTGGCTTCTCCAGTTCCAACTTACCCCTCTGTTACTTCTTCCTCTATCTCCCTTCCTTCTTCGTCAACCTCGGTCACCAGCCTTACATGTCCTTCGTCTTCATGCCTGGTTTTTATCTGGTCCTTGACAAGGAGATCTGGCTCGTCCCAACAAGTAGTTTCATTTCTGGCTTGTTCCATTTACCCTTCCTCCATGGAAGTTTATCAATGTAAATGGAGTGTTTTCTGCTGTTGGTTTCTGGGTCAAGGGTTTTCTGCTGATCAATCCACTGTTTCTCGTATTGTGGATTTTCCTACTTGGCTTTTCGATCAGGGGTCTTCTGTCTCTTCGTTCTCAGATATACGGCAGTCTTGTCTCACACCTTTTGTTTTTTTCAATACCATAGGGTTTTTACCTCTGCTATGCTTTTCCTGTTGATGCGTTCCTTCCGGATTCGTCATCCACTGCAATGGGTTACCCTTCCAGACTGGGATGTTAATGTGGTCATTCACTGCCTCCATTGGAACCACTTTCCACCTGCTCCTTGTTTCACCTTTCCCTTAAGACTTATTTCCTTCTCTTCTTAGTCTGATTTATTTGCCATTGATGTCTCATGTACTCTTTATCATCCTACATATATTATCCTTTATCCAAATCGTTCTTTCCTCCCCAAACCTCCTTGGCTAGGGAGAGTAACTTCTGCTTTTCACCAATTTCTTTTCTTCCATTTCCCACCTTTATCCTAGGCCTGATCTGGATAGACTTCAATGTTCTGTATATGCTCTTTGCTGTTATATTGCCTGCACAGCTTCCTTACGTGGTGCCCATTCGTGCCTCTTTATTTCTTGGCAGCCATCCTCTTTTCTTGATCTTTCTCCTTCCACCCTCACCAATTGGGTTCAGCTTTTGGTTTAATTGGCTTATTCCTCTTTATTGTCTTCTTCTGTATTTTGTTCCAGGTGTCTTCTCATCAAATTCAACACCTTACCTTTTCTGTGTCATCTCATTTTCATCGTCTGTTGGAGGAAATTCTTCAATTGGGTATGTGGACTGCTCCTAATACATTCATCTCTCACTATTTGCATAGGATCGTGGTTTCTTCCTCTTCAGGCTATCATCTTCTGCCTGTAGCCATTCTTCAGACTTCAATGAGACTTTGACTGGGTGATTCATCTTTTATTATTTTTTATTTTATTTTCAGGGGGCCTTATTTCCCTTTTGATTATTAATACTCATTGTTTGAATCCTGCCCTGTGGTGAGTGGTGCTTAACCAGGTATTCTTTAACTGTTCAAATCTGCACTGTCAAGCTATGTCGACTTGCATATTATAATTCCATGGCCACACAACATACACTGCAGAGATGGAGTGTTCCGCAAGATTGCTTTTAGGTTTATTCTCACTATATAATTGCTTCCACCCTCACCAATAAGTTTGCCCATCCCGGACCGTACCCACCCTTGGACTACAAGGGTAAAGCAGAAGGGGATAGCTACCCATCTTTTCCATGCCTTGTACTGAATAAATCAGTATGGTCTGCTTTTAAAATATAGGGTTTTTTGGTCATCCATTGCATTGTCTCGGGTGTTGTCGTTTCTCTGGACTCTTCACCGCATTTTACCCCCATTATCTTTTAGTGGAGTTTGAGAGTCCTTATCACTTTCCAGTTCCAAGTCGCTGGGGTGGTGGACTGTGGAGGCATCCTCCTAAATAGGTTAAAGAAATATAAACAAAATATAGAAATTATTATAAAATCATTCAGTTGATAGGAGGGGGCGGTGGTGTTCTGCTGGTGTAGATGATGTGATATCCTCCAATATGAAATATAAAAACAAATGGGAGTGAGACATCAAAATTGCAGTTCACCCCTTTGATTGGAATCCCTCATCCTACCCTCATGTGGATGTCAGTTCCCAGTAGAAATATAAAAACAAATGGGAGTGAGACATCAAAATTGCAGTTCACCCCGTTGATTGGAATCCCTCATCCTACTCTCATGTTGATGTCGGTTCCCAGTATCCGGGTTTTGGATTTAAAGTAGAACCAATCAACATAAGTCCTCACATATATATTACAGATGTTTATATTCCTCTCTCATTTATACTCCATCAGTGTGTGGGTCGCAGTAGAGGTAATTACAGATTGTTACGGTTCTTTCCCATACACTATTCCTCAGTGTTTCTTATTCTGAGGATGTTAATGTGCTTGGGCTGGTTTCAGTCAATTTCACTTTTGAGAGAGATGGTTTACATTATGTAGACATCTTTTTGATACTGGATGTGAGGTTCTCAGATCGATTTATCAATTTATCATATTCACATGAGTCCCGTTCAGGAGTTGGGGGGTACTAGATCCCCCCCCCCCTTCTGGTCTTGTGAACTTGAGGTGAAGAGAGTATGATCCTCTTTCCTACCCCCACATGGATGTCGTGCCCGGTAGCCTGGGTTTTGGATTGTAGTTAACTTGCCGGTGGTATGATCCTCTTTCTTATCCCACATGGATGTTGGTACCCGGCGGACGAATTTTGTGTTGTAGTTGACTTACCGATGGTATGATCTTCATCCTTCCCCCGCGTAGATGTCGGTTCCCAGTGGCATGGGTTTTGGATGTAGTTGACTTGCCATGTATGGTCCATCGTGCCCTAGCCACTCTACACCTAGGGGCACATCCTTTCCATTTTACCCACTTTTATAATTTCTGGGATTGAGTTTCATAAATATTGCATGGTTTGGATCACTTTCCAGCCATAGTTCTCTCCCAATTGGATGTGCTCCTCTGTTTCCTGCTGCCCATATGTGCAACATTTTTCTACGATGGGCAAAGAGTATACCTGGTTCAGATGTGGTGAGGTCTCCCTCGTCAGTTCTTAAAATATATCTCATTTTAGCGAGTGTCCCTTTAGATGCTTTTTTCTCTCCCTCCACCTATTCAATGTGGTATTCTAGCTATTTATGCAGAGGTAATGTACCGTTTCAGAAGTTATAATTTTCCTATACTGAAAATATATTTTCGATAGGTACTTACCTCATATCACACTTCCCACTTTTCTTTTTCACTGAAAACCGGTACTTCCATTTTCTGCCAAAACTTGAAGTGATAGTTAGGTAGAATTGAATAGAGGGAGTCACATGCGTAATGAGAGTATGTCGCACTGTTATTGGTGGAAGGTTGTCGCATGATGATTTGCTTGAGAGACGCAATGGAATTAGTCAATTCCAATTGAAGGGGGAAAAAATGCTTGTGACATGCATAAAAAGTTTTTGCATATAGAGGGCAGACTGAACAAGAATAGCTATTTATGTGAGGTAAGAACCTATCAGAAATACTTTTTCAGTATAGGAAAGTTACAACTTCTGTTTTTTGTTTATTTCTATATAATTTTATTGTTTCTCAAGAAAACTGAAATTAGTATGGTTGTATATTTTAGGCCTTCCTTGATGCAGTCATTACCCTTCAGTTCTCTATGATAGAAACTTTATGGAGAACATTTTGGAGGACACAAAGTAATGGTCAGAGGTAATTCTAGAGCATTTTGATAAGGTGTATTATTGTGTTTATTTTTACTTGGCAACATATTATGTATATGATTTAGGAAAATGTGTATGTTTTAATACCCAAATATGTTCCACTTAAAACTACTGATGGTGTCTATATGGGCTCTATTGACTTTTTAAACACATTTTTCTAAAACCACATATGTACCAAATGACTCATATGGGTCCATGATTTTGTTGGTTAGATAATCTCTAGGATAACATATGAATCACACAAAACATTTAACAAAAACACCATCATTATTGTAATTCATTCCACTAATTATTGCTTGAGTCCCTTATATGTTTTCATAGAAGCTTTGTAATTTCACTTAGGTTTTTTTGCTCAGTCATTTACAGACACAAGTTTTACTCAGTATGATGCAATGGTAGTGAATGGTATGAAAACAAATGAGTAACTTGGGATGTAAGACCTAATTTAGTTTTATAGAAAAGTTTCAGAGCATATGCAGGCAGTTATTATTGTTTTGTTTTTAGCAAACAAGTAGACAGAATAAATGTATTTGAAGAAGAAAGATATCAGTTGCATTTTTGAAGTAAAAGAATTAAAATGTAAATTTAGTAGTTATCAAATGTCTAAATACACTGTTGTAGTACATGAAATGTAAGGACAGCTAGAGCAAAACATAGCATATGTTTTTAATTCAGACATATTTAGTGAGAGTGTCCAACTAAATTGCCTTTTTTCTTTATGATGCTTTGTTTGTCTCTGCCCTTTGTACAAATGATTATTTTCAATAGTAATACCAACCCAAGAAGAATAAGGAGAAACATGTTTATTTACAAATCAAATAGTTGCAGACAAGAGCAGGTTAAAGTACAACTGGGCAGTAATTTCCAGCCCTTATATAAAATATAGTAGGATTCTCACCTATAGATCACATGATGGACATACTACACTGTTCAAGTTAAATTTCATAACTCTGATCAGAACTTGTGCTTTAAAAAGTAAGGTAAAAGAATTTAGCCCACAAATAGAAGGACAATTGGGCTGAACAGCCTGTCATTGTGCATGGTCAATTCATGAGTTGTTTGTGTTTTGTTCACATTTCTATGTGTATGTTAGTTACTTCTAGAGAAGTGTTTCATTAATAATCATATGTCGTATAACCCATGAAGTGTGTGTGAATTAACTGTTTTTACATAACAACCAGATCAACCCGAGTTATTTAATCATGTAGCATTACAGTAACTGTACTTATGGTTTACATAACAAGGTTATGCAGTTGTAAGTTTATTGTACCCTACATTATGTGAATTAATACATTTACTCACATGGATGCATACTGTTTAGTAGATTTGTAGTTAGTTCATGGGTTATGTAACATAGTTAATCCAATTACACATGTTCACTGTCAGAAACAGTTGCTCTAATGTGAATATTAATATACTTTTTTTTTACCATCACCTTTCTATATAAGTAGCTGAAAGACTGTGAAGTATACCATATTGTTAGGAAATCTTTGTTTAGTTGTTCAAAATATGTTTTTAAAGAAACATTATGCATGAAGAGAATTTATTACTTTGAGGACTTGCAGTACTAAAAGAAAGAATTATGTTGATTTAGTTTTTTCTTATGTAGTAATGATGAAAATACCCTGAAAGAAAGTAGTCTGTATAAGCTGTGTCTTTGTGAAGAAGTACAAAAGTTAGTGAGGAATGTAGACTACCAGTTTTACCAAAACCTGGTTGACGTCTTGATTCCAGATGTGCTTCGACCCATTCCAAGCAAGTAATCTTTTATTTAGAACAGTCAAATGACATTGCTTAGATTTATATACAGAGTATGCTATCCCAGTAACAATTGTCTGGGTCATGAAAATATTATGAATATAAACGTTAGTTACCCTAGTCTTGTTTAATTTCCTCCTAGTTCCGTTATAATACTTTAACCCACTTGTGATCTACGGTAGTGTTTCCTTAACTCAAAAATAATCAATCATTAAATATAAGGTATCAATTTTTTTGTATGTAAAATTTGTGTTAAAGTATGTTTTTACCTGTGTTTCCTGCTTATATCTACCAATATACATTCTTGTTAAATTTTTATGGTTATATTTTTGTAATATGTTAGTTTGCAGTGCCTTATGTCATTCATAGTTATCACAGATTTTTTTATTTTATATATGTATTACTGTATTCTTGTTCTTCAACTTTGTATTGGAAAAACCTTAGAATTTTTTAAAGATTAAAACCTATTTCTCAACTTTGTTTCATTTTTTATTTCAATTATAAATGAGGAATTTTAAAGGTGACCATTCTATTGTTTTAGGTTCACTCACCCAAGCTATTCGTAATTTTGCTAAAAGCTTGGAAGGTTGGCTAACATCAGCTATGGCAGGCTGTCCAGATGATATGGTTAGAGTCAAGGTACTGTTTCATTTTGAGTTTGTCTTAGTATGTCTGTTTAACTGACATGTAATGCAAGGTTTGAACTTTGAATTGCTATATTTTGAGTATATGTCCCTGTCAGGGGCATGCGGTTTAAGGTTTTAATGTATATCTATTGTATGTTGAGAATAATTAGATGTGCCTGTATCATTACTTCTTAATACATATTTTCAGTACTATTAAACTGTTTTTTTAAGTAAATCTCACCTTGTGTCTAATGATTTAAAGATTCAATATTAAGTCTCTGTATTTCAATTATAATTTTACATAGTGGTACCACTTCCTTAAATTGTAAAGTTTTAGTATTAGTAAGTAGTTATTAAATAATTTATTCTGAATTTAAATTAATATGCCTGAATTACTACTGTCTAATGAAAGATTTGGTTTTGGGTCATTGTATTCTAAGTGTAACTCATTGTGTTTGCATCACTTTTGTGTATTTTGAAGTTAGTGTACAATGAGTATAATAGTGTAATTGGACATAAGTGTATCACTGCTATTTAATGTATATATTTTCAGTATTAAGTCATTCTTTTTTGGAGTGTGGCTATATGACTGCTGTATAGTATTAAACATACTGAGTATACCTTGATATATCTGTATCATGTCCATCTGTTTTAAGATTTCAATATTAATTTAGTATACACTGCATCACTGCTGTGTAGTGAAAAGTTTAACTTTTAAGTCATTTTATTGTAGTTGAGCTTGGTGTACATATATTATTGACATTTTATTTAAGTCATCATGTTTTAATTTCACCCTAACACTTTTGCTATGGCATCTTTTTCTGCTCATATTATGAGGTTTTAGTGAGTTACATTCAAAATTTGATTAAACTGCTTTCTGATCACGGTATACAAATAAATTTGACATAAAAATGTAGCTAATGATATAATTTTTAATATTATATAAGTTTTAATTTTGTGAGGCAATATTAAAAAAAGCCCTGAATTTTCCCTAGTGTGAGAATTGTGACTCATTTACTCTCTGTGTATCCCCCTCTTCTCTAATTTATATATCTTCAAGAAGTATAAAATTTAATGTAAATTACTCATTACAATGTTGTCATTACTCAGGCAAGGCATAAGTTTTATAGTCTTTAATCGTATTTGATTACATAGCCGTAAGCTAGAGAATCAGACCCCTCTTGCCATGCCCACCTGTCACATCCTCTCTTTTGGAAATTGCTAATAGTTCTCTCTGATGTTTAGTACTGTACAGTGCCTTGCAAAAGTATTCATTCCTACCAATAATGTCATATTTTGATGAAATACAAATAATGTAAAAATTTTTTTTTTAATGAACTTGCTTGTATTCAAAACTGTAATGGGATGGTGTAATTTTTGCCCATTCTTCCTGTCAAAATTTCTCCAATTCTGACACGTTCTTTGTGGATCATTGATGGATTGCAATCTTCAAGTCTCGCCATAAATTTCCCATTGGACTCAAGCTAGGACTTTGCCTGGGCCACTCCAGGACATTCACTTTCTTCTTTTGAAACCATTCCACTGTGACCTTGGCCTTTTGCTTCGGGTTATTGTCCTGCTGAAATGTGAATTTTTGACCCAGTTTTATATTCTTGGCTGACTCAAATAGGTTTTCTTCTAGGATTTGCTTGTACTTTGCACCATCCATCATCTCTTCAATCCTGATGAGCTTCCCAGCCCCTGCTGATGAGAAGCATCCCCGTAACATGATGCTGCCACCACCATGCTTAACAGTTTGGATGATGTTGACTGGGTTGGACTTGTGCCAGATGTAACGCTTTGACTCTAGACCAAAAAGCTCAACTTTTTTTCTCGTCTGACCACAAAATCTTCTGCCACATGTCTGTAGTACCATTTACATGCTTTATTGCAAACACCATATGAGATTTAAGATGATTCTTTTTCAGTAATGACTTCTTTCTTGCCATTCGCCTATACAGGTCAGCTGTATGAATGAATACTGACTCCCATCTCATACATGGAACTTTGCAAATCTTTCAAAGTCACTGTTGACTTCACAGTGGCATCCCTAATCAGTTTCCTGCTTGCCCAGCTGCTTAGTTTGGTAGGGCAGTCTGATCAGGGTAGTGAGTGGGTGGTATGAAGAACATTCCATTTCTTAATGATGGACTTCATCGTACTCAAAGGGATAATCCTGTTCTGTCTTTCTCTACCACATTATCCCTGACTTGCTTGGAAAGCTCCTTGGTCTTCATGATTGGTTTGTTATAAAACTATGTGAGTTATGGCTTGAACAAATGCGTTTACTCTGAAGTCAAGTTAAATCACTGTGATTACACACAGACCATTACACTAATTTTATGATCTTTTAAACTAATCTTTTGCACCTGGACTGACTTAGGGTTGCTGTAACAAAGGGGTTGAATTCCTATATATTGAATTGAGAATATTCTAATTTCTTTAAAAATCTAACTTACTTACATAATATCAGTGTTTTTTTTTTAGCTTTCTCAGTTTGAAGTAGATCGTGTTGATTCTAAATATAAAGTTCCGTCTGAAAGTTTCATGACTGCAAGCTCAGACAGCAAAAAAAATGTGGAAACTCTGCAGAGGGTGAATACTTTTTCAATGCGCTGTATTATTTATAACCAATAGAAAGCCCAGGTTTTATTTAATCTATCAAATGATGTATTATATTTCTGTACAGAGAAATGTCTATTTTGGTTCCAGTTCAAACTTTATTCCCAGGAGAAACACATCAATGAGCTTAGCTGAATTTTTAACAGCTCTTACCACATAGTTAGAAAGCCAAAAAAATTGTGATAGTTATGGAACATTTTCTGTTATTATTTTGTGTTCTTTGGTGTATTATTTTATTAAATAAAGTTATTTAGGGCAGTAGTTCCATTAATATAAAAAAAAAAACAGTAGGGTTAAATTTCATCCACAGTTGACAGTTACCAGTTTAAAACTGTTTAGGATAAACAAATGTACTAAGTTTCAAATGGACAGCAACTGTCTGTTGTAGAAACGTACAAATGTAGAGGACAACGTTTCGAAAGTCTTCCGCTTTTCGTCTTTAGATCAGTGTGTGTGTGGTGTAGTTTGGTCTTTATAGTGTTCCAGTGGATTGTTATGTTTGGTTGGTTAAAACACATTTCTGATTGGAGGGGAGACTTCCTGTGGCCTCAACCAATGGTAGCCACAGTTTATTCACCTCTAATCCTGAATCTCTGTTTAGTGAAGGTTTTATTGTGTTAATGTAAAACGATTCTAGCTTTTTCCCAGTTTATGTTGTGTCCAATTGACATGGTATGTTCTGCAATGGCTGAATTTTGTGTTTTCGTGAGTCTTGTGCTGTCTTTATGTTCCTTTATTCTTGTCGCAAGTCTTCTTCCCGTTTCTCCAATGTATGTTTTGTTGCAGGAACACGGAATTTCATAAATGACGTTTTTCTGTTTTTTGTTGGTAGGTTTTTGTTTGTTCTTCACCAGAATGGATCTTAGTGTTTTGTAACATTTCCACCAGATGTCTATGTTGAATTTCTTAGCTTTTCATTTAAGTTTTTCACTGACATTTTTCAGGTATGGGAGGTATATAGTTGTAGTGGTAGTGGTACTGTTGTGGTCTTCTTCAAGGAGTTCTTGATGAAGGAAGAGGTATAACCTTTCTGTTTAAAATACTGTATGATGTTTTGACGTTCTGTTTCGAAAATCACTTTGCACTCGGAGCAGTCGACAATTTGACTCCATATACTTATGGAAAATTTTTAATGAAAATACTTTTTCTGATTTTTTGTCAACAAATGACTAATGAATACTAAAAACCTGCAAAATTTCATAAAGATACACAAATCATGCTAGAAGTTATAATATGGAAACTATAAAGGTCAATTTGGGATCACTTTTTAGGTTGAATTGACTGAGTCCATAGAGAGGGTGTTAATGTATTTGTCATCTTCATGGTTAGTAGCCTATATGACCACCTAAGTTTAAATACTAGTTTCTTTTATTGTTGTTATTAAATACTAACCACCAATTATTTTATGTCTTATGTTTTGGCTGCTAATCTGTAGCTGTTTCTAGGAGAGTCCTGAGAAGGACTATATGTGGTGGTGGTAGTTGAGGTTTGAATTCTGGTCTTCATGTTAGAAAGGCAGTTTTGCTCTCCATTTGTTTGGACTCTCACTTCATTGAAACTCAAATAAACTTACTATTTGAATGGTTTCAAGTGAATCTAATAATAATGATTTAAAAAAGTAAGTAATTAATAATTAGAGTTAGGTGATCATATAGGCTGCTAATCATGACGGTGAATGATATTCCATTACTACAACCTTACCCTATGTACTCGTATCATATACTTTTGTTTTATTGTCATGTTTGATCTTAGTTTTAAGAAAATTTCATTAACTTCTATATTCACAGTGACTGGACATTACAATTCTCTCTATATGTGACCATTAAACAGAAAAAAAGTAGTAGTCACAGAGAAAGTGTGATAAGTATGAATCTTATTGTTTTTTACTGTATGGCAACAGAGCAGTAGATAAGAGATTACTTGAAGCTATGTGTAAAGATGGTGGGTTTATGCAATTTGATACGTGTATCCAAGATTTTTTTGGGGTCTCATTCCATTGAAAAATATAAAAAATACTACTAAAAAATAACCTAAAGTGATATCTATTTTTACATTTTATTTATTTTTATATTAATAAATATAGAATAAACATGAAAAACAAGAAATAAATTACTTACCCAAACTTTTTTTCTTGCTGCCGATTGTCGATGAGTCTTAACTCTAAATTTCTTATACTAATGGTAGTTGTGAATTAAATAATGCACCTAAGAACATGCAAAAAGCACACAATTTCCCCTAACTCTCAAATTTTTCTGGCTTTCTAACTATGCGACAAGAGCCATTACAAATTCATCCAAGCTAGTCGTTAACTTTCACACAGGAACAAAACTTGTACTGTGAGTGAGACTGACGATATTCTGTTCGGAACATAACATTATAAAATATGTCACTTGACAGATGAAAATCTTGAATTTCTATTGGTTATAGGTAATATATATAATTAAACGTAGGAGAGAACTATTAACAAATTCTGAAAGAAAGGATGTGACAGGTGGGTGTGGCAGGAGGAGTCTGATTTTCTATTTGATAGCTCTGTAACCAAACAAAATTGAAGGCTATAAAAATTATGGGTTGTCTGAGCAATGATGATTTTATAGTGACTTATTTATGTTTATTTTCATAGTTTCTTTAAGGTTGGTGGATAAAATGGAGGTGAGTAGATACCTAGAGAAAATGTGTCATGTGAGTTACAGTAGGGGAAATTCAGAATTTTTATAAATATTGCCTTATAAATTTAAGAACTTAAAACTTATATCCTATTAAAATATCAGTTATTTGCTAAGATTTTATGCTATACTGATTGGTATACCATAAACAAAAAGTAGTTTAATAAAATATTGTATTTTAAACAAAAAACTTGTGTCATGCGCATTAAAGGATACTCAGGACAAGAGGGTTAAATAGTTTTCATTCTATGTCAAGGTTAGTGCAGTGAGTGCCTTTGCCCAAACATTACGTCGTTACACATCTTTAAACCATCTGGCTCAGGCTGCTAGAGCTGTTTTGCAGAACTCCTCTCAAATAAATCAGATGTTATCAGATTTGAACCGTGTGGATTTTCATAATGTTCAGGTTAGTATTCTTCTAAAGTTTTTGTATTTTATGTAAACATCATTAATATCAGAATGCTAGAGCTGCTTTGCAGAATTCATTTCAGATAAATTGGATGTTAGAAGATCTGAAACTGTATATTCACATATGTATGTTCATGTTAGTACTGTGTTGCATACTTAAACTTCAATATATTCTTTATGCATCATTAAACTTGGCTACTAGAACTAACTTCCTTACAAAATTTATCTCAAGTAAATCATATGCTAACATGTGTAAAATGTGTATATTTCCAAAATGCCCACCAGGCACCGTGATAATACTCTACCTATGTTCCCAGGTATTTTTATTCAACAATAAATTCAGAGCACTAGAAACATCTTTCAGAATTAGTCTTATGTAAATCAGATGTTGCTTACACTGTTCAGAGCAGTTGACTTTAGATTTTCAATTTACTTGCATATCATCAGTAAAATTGCATTTAAAGAGCTGTTGTGCAGAATAACTGTTTACATAATAAATTTACTGTATAATTATATAATTCCTTTTATGGTTAATGTAGTATTTTAATTAAATATTAGAATGCTGATAAGAATTTATATTTATATTGTAAAGATGTTTTCTGTTGATCATGACTTGTTTTAAAATTTTATTTAAAAAAGAAGTCATTAAAAAATTATAATTAAGATGTAAGTTGAATGCTTAGTGTTCTATGCACAGGATGCATCCAATTTTCAGCTCTAATAAAAAGTATATAATGTGGTTATATTTTAGTTCTGGATATGCCCAATTTCAAAATATTTCATAAATTCAACAGCTAGAACCACTTTAAGCATAAAATGGTTAATTGTTAGTAAAATGTATTAGGTTGTCAAGAAATTAATGTTGCGGTTTGGAACTCTTTCATTAACCACCCCCCAAAAAATGTACATCACGTATAATAGGTAAACGAACCACCTAAACATCACGTTAGTGTAGCCTATATAATGTGTAAAGTTTAGTATACTCTAATCCCTTATAGTTAGGGCACATGACAAGACACACATTCGGCATGTAATGCTGTTTGAATACAAGAAGGGAAACAATGCCTCTGTAGCCACAAAGAATATCAAAGAAGTTTATGGAGTTGGGTTGGGAAATTCTCCCACACCTAACATATTCTCCAGATATGATACCATCAGATTACCATCCTTTTCATTTGCTGCAACACCATCTTAATGGGAAAATGTATGCAAATGTGAAAGGTGTTAAAGAGGACATCGACATGTTTTTGCTTCAAAGACAAGTGATTTCTTTAATCAGGACATTAACAACCTGATTGTAAGATGGAAAAGCATCATCGAGAGTAATGGAGACTATTTCATTTAATAAATGTTTTGTTTTGATATATAAGTTCTTCTGGTTTTTCATCTTAAAAAAGTGACATTAATTTCTTTACGACCTATTACCATTTGAAGGTTTAAAAATAGTGTATGCTTTGTTTATAGGTTGATTTTATGTTAACCAACCTAAAGTTGTGGATATGTTAATACATGGCCATTCTGAACTACTATGTTCCTTTTTCTTCTTAAAGTTCAGTGTTTATATATTATTACAAAGTGGGGTATTAAAAATAAACTATACCTTTTAGTAGTGATTATTATGTTACTTTCAGTGATGCATACACACTCATATAATATATGTTACAGTAAATTATCATAAGAATAGAAAATGGCAGCTATTTTTATGTTAACCACACTTGAATTTTTGGACACTATTAATCATAATCATTTTGAAAGTACTTTTAAATTTCATTAATGAGTTTACAGTTAAAGTTCCAATACAGTTTTAACTCTTCTCACACAAAGCTCTCTCGATCTTCTTTGTGCCCTCTGAGCATTGCTAAAAAAAATTTGACGCTCAGCACACCATTCTATACACCCCACCAATTTTGAGCCACTGTTGAAGATATACATAGCAGGTGACTACTCTCCACCAATAGCATTGTGCCACCTGTATTGGCACATATAGCTCCCTCAGCTATTCCTGCTCAATCCTCACTTTCTTGATTGGCACTACATCATTTAGATGTGTGTTTTTTTCATGTTTGGCTACTGTTTCTGATTGAGCTTCTTTGCCATTTTACAAATTTTTTTTTTTGTTCAACAGTTTTCAGTTTCTGTGTTTGTATTCAATTGTTTTTTAACAACATTTCCTTGCATTTGTTTTTTGTTCTCGAATTTGAAGTGAACTTACTATGAATTCAATGTTAAATGTATGAAATATGGAAGTTCCCATTACAGTCAACAATGCTACTGGTACGACTTCCCAGGATTTGGGTTTGACTTTATTTGCAGAGGAGGTACAGGCTTTAATTCACAATGAGCTAGATTCATATGTTCAGCTGGCGATTTCTTCTTCTTTTTAACCTTACAATGTTTCTGAGGAAGAATACAATCAAGGAGAAGACAATATGAACTCTCTTTTTTGCAGCACCTTCTTATTTTGGTCAAGTCACAATCTACACCTCATCAAGAGATTTTCTATTCCTCCCCCTTTTTACAGCTTATTAATCAGGTATGTGGTATTTACATGTTTCCTTTATTGCTTATGATGCCTTCCTTTCCTTACTGGGTGAAATTACTTCTTTTAAATTTTGTTTTTCCCCCTTCACCCGACATTAGGGTTCATGCTCAAAGATGTTTGGACCAATTTCAGTCAGGTGTTGGTAGGCCCTGTCCCCCTCACTTGTTGGACAAACATGCTTTGGCATACCATTGCTTTTCAGATCCATATTTGGATTCTTAACAATTGAATCCTCTACTGCCCCTTTGGGGTTCAAATCCGGGAAAAACTGTTCATATTAATCAGGCTTAATGCTCAAGGATTTGCATTTCCCTCTTCTCCCTCTTACATTACCTGTCTTCCCTCCAATTATTGTCAGAGGCCCTTCATCGATCCCCTACCCTTTCCCTTAATACCTGGTTCATGTGATGTTGGGACTTGTTGGGGAGAGATGCATTATTTGTGAGGGTGCAGTTCCCCCATTCATCCCTGCAGGATCTGTATCAGGCCTCATTCCTATGCATTACGTATTTGGGGGTCGTCCTGATTCCTTGGAATACAGGATTGATGTGGCTAGATTGCATTCTTCTTTGTCTTCTCTGGCTACACATTTATTTCACTCTCCCTCTTCCTCCCATGAGTCACTCATCCTTATTTCCCTTCCTCGTCCTCCTTTGCCCAAGCCCTTGCCTTCCTCCCAGAAATCTTCACCTTATGCTGCCTGTGCTACATTTCCTTACCTTCCATCTCCCACATCTACTCCCATTCTGATCCAGATTGACTTCTTTGTCTGGTTCACTCCTTATGGTATTATGTGGCATGTACTGCCTCCTTTCAGGGTTCATGTTCCTGACTGTTTTTTCCCTGAAATCTGTCTGTTTCCTGTGATTTATCCCCTGTCACACTAACTGGTTGGGTTTGTTAATTCATTAGGTGGGTGACTTACCCATGGAAGGTTGCTGTCTCTACAATATTTCTTCTTATAAAACTTGTCATATCATCATGTCTTTGGCTGCTTGCCATCGCTGTCCTTTGGAGGAGATCATTCAGGTTGGAATGTGGACTATTCCCTATTCCTTCATCGCTCATTATCTGCATGATTTGGTCCTATCTTCTTCAGGTGGATATCGTCTCCCTCCCATGGCAATTCTACACACTACATTTGCCTTTGGCTGGGGTAAGTCCTATCACATCATTTCATTTATGTTTTCCTTTTAGAGACCCTCTTTTTTTTACCACTGCTAATGGGATCCCACTCTGTGATAGGTGTTGCCTGGTTAGATATGCTTTGCTTTAAACCTACACTATTAACTGGTAGCACTATAACACTCATTGTATAGATGAGGTGTTCTGCAAGACCACTGTTGGCTTGCCCACTGGTATATACATGTCTCTCAATATCCATCAGTTTTACTCAGTTGTGGACCATCACTCATGGATTTCATGAGTAAAGCAGAAAGGGATTTCTGCCCATCCCTCCCAACCCCTTGATTGAATAAATTGGGGATGGTATGCTTTTCAAAATAAGGAATCATGGACATCCATTGCACTTTCTCCATTGTGACGTTCCTCTGGACTCTCCATCACACTTAATTCTCCCCTATTTTTCTCGGAGTGGAGCAAGAGGGTTCTTACCACTTTCCAGTTCCAAGTCACTGGGGTGGTGGATGAAGGAGGTGTCCTCTTGAGTGCATTGTAGGCTTTTAACTTTCCATATATTCACTCATTTGTTTTAGCATTACTTAGAGGACAGAAAGAAGACTGAGATAGTTTTTTGTGAGTAGAGGGGTAAGTACCTATCAGAAATATATATTCAGTGTAAGAAAATGTTAACTTTCACTCAATGAGGAAATGACTACATTTACTTCACTATAAAGTTCAAAGTTTTTGTCCTGGCAAAAAACAATAACTTCATAATAATTTATGCTTCAAATGTGATTTTTTTTCTGTTCATATTTTATTTATTCTTCTATGTCTTAATAAAAATAACTAACATTTAAGCATTATGGATAAAGAGTATTTATTGGTTGATGAATAAGCTTGCTGAAAGGGAAGTAGGATTTTATAACTATGTGCACAAATATCTTTGTATGCCTATATGGTATACCACTAAATTACAAACACTCCAGAAGAATGACCAATATTCAAACACTTGCTATGTTTATTGGATCGGCTCTGTACCATATACTGTAATAAATGTTTTCCCAGATTCAAAGTGCAATCTCATTACTCTGGGGAATTCTGGTTGTAAACACTGTAGGGTAAATAAGCTGATAAATTCCACATCATGTTCTCAGAGCAGGGGTCAAGTCGGCTTATTTCTGTGTGTGTGTGAGCTTTGTTGCTCTCGAGAGTATCATATTACGGTGTCATGTAAACAGTCTAATGACACAAGCAGTGATTTGCTGCTATATTTTCAGTGGATTTCTATTTCAGTTGTAGACAGTAAAATAAACTGAAAATAAAGGTGAAATGTTTAGCAGTTCTAACTCTGAAGAGAAGTTTTTGAAATTTTTGTGACCAATAATAAAGAATAGCTAATCCACTTCCTGAAACAACCTAGTCTCATAATTTTGACATCTCAGAATTTTCCTTCCAAAGTGCACCTCAGTCCTGCAACCCTTTGACCAGGATGTCATTAAAACTGTGAAGTCCCTCTACAGAAAACTGCAACAGATGCCAACATTGCTGCTAACGAAGTGAACATGCTTGATGCCTGCTACTGGGTTGCAGAAACAGTCAGGGAGACAGTGCCATTAACCATACAGAAATGCTTCTGCTTCTCTGCAATCAAAGTGGATGAAGAAATTCCAGCAGTTCCTGGAGATGATGAGGAAGACAACATTCCACTGAGTGAGCTGATGGTGTGTCTGTTAGAAAAAACTCGAAATGAAGAAGTTTTTACTGCTGCACACTTTGCAGACAAAGATGCTCCAGCCACAGAACAACTTGAATAGGGTTGGGAGCAACGAATTGCAGCTGATATTGCAGGAAAGCCTTCTCAAAGTGATCACACCACTTTGGATGATGAGGAGCCAAAACCACCATCAAGTCATTTGTGCAAGCACAACAGTGGAATAGAAATAAATTTTAAACTTATCTCTTTGTTCCATTTATTTAATGTTTTTACAGTATATATAAAAAACACTGCTTATGTACATGTAACAAAAATGACTTTAAATGCATACACCAAAGAAAATGGGGGGGGGGGCTTAAAATTCAGAAATTTAGTATGGATTCCAGCCTTGTGTGGTTCATTTTTGAAATTAAGGGCACCTTACTATAATGGGCATTTGATGCAGTCAGGAGGGTGATCTTAATGTTGAGGTTCTATTGTATCAGTTTTTTATATATATAATACTGAAGAGCTGAGCTTATTTCACAATGTGAACTTTCATGGTTCTTTAACAAACCTAACATACAATCAAAACCAGATTTGTTTGTGATTCACCACAAAAGGCAGACAATAAAAATAATATCACATATCTAACAGAAGATGGTTTATCAAGCAGGAAAATAGATGAGGCAATATTTAATCTTGCTTTTCAGTATGCTAACAATTCACTCCTGAATAGTATTCTTATTACTGATCATGTCAGATGTTATTTAGGTGTGGAAAATGTTGATATTATTCATACTGTTTTATAGTTTACTGTGGTTATTGTTGGTATATCACATTTTTTATACTGTCTTTTTTTTTTTCATTCAAAACTAAATACCTCAGACAAGTCTCAATAATATGCAGATAAAATAATAAGATTAATATTTGATATAGATTTTCAAAAGATCTTTCGGTATAAACCACGTTATTCTATTTCAATAGGAACAAGCTTCATGGGTCTGCCAGTGTGAAGATGAAATGGTACAGCGTATAGAACAAGATTTCAAGGTGACCCTTCAACAACAAAATTCACTTGAACAGTGGGCAGCTTGGTTAGAGGGAGTAGTTAATCTAGTCCTACAACCCTTTAAAGAGAAGCCTGATTTTCCCAAAGCTGCTCGACAGTTCCTTCTTAAATGGTCATTTTATAGGTGAGTTGATAATGAAATACTTATAGTTATTGTTTAAGCATCAGATATTTTCTTATCATTGTTATTAAAGTCAGTCTTGATGGAGGTTACAACAAAAGCATCAGCATAAAGCTCTGAGTTTACTGGTAAGTACCAGTGATCATAGCATCTGGTTTAAAATGTTTACCAATTTGCAAACATAACTACTTTTGATGGATACTAACAGATAAAGCATGCAGAGGTTGAGTATGTCATATTAGAATGATTTTGGAGTCTCACCATGTCATTACAGTCCATTTTGCTATGTTCAGTCTTGATCTATCTGATGACCATGCACCTTGACAGTTGCCCTGCAGCATAGTTTGTATTACAAAATAATATGTTGTAAGGTTGTCACGTCAAAAGTTCTACTCCTTCCTGCATGCTTTCCATAGTCAAACTTGTGTATGAGGACAATGATTTCCCAGCACTCAGTTGAACAGCTTGATTGCAACCAATTCTATAAGTACTGCATCCAGCAACTTAACTAGTATATCTTCTTATGGAATAGCATAAATACCAATTTCATTTTCCAGTTGCTTAGGTATGGAGATCCTTTTTGATGATGTTGTATACTATTGTCTGATTCACATGTATTGCTTTTGCCACTGACCTTTGTATTAATGGATTCTCACCTGTTACAACATGTCTCACTTTGTTTACTATGGCTGGGGTACGAGTTGCATATATTTTTCTAGATGGTCCTGGTGATTCATATTCTTTCATTTTCCAGTGCCATTAGGTACAAGGGATATCCCTATTTTGGAAATTCTAATTCCCCAATCTAAACACATACTTATGATCTGAGTGCATGAATATTTTATGTTGGAAAGGACAGTTGTATACCCTTCCCGAAAGAACTCAGTTTTCAGTGACATCACATTACCTACCAAACGTTAATGTCAAAATGTAGTTCTGTTATATTCCATTTTGCTGTGCTGTGACTTTATATTGTCTGTGATTGTCAGATTACTTGCTTATTTACATATTCAAAATTGTTTTAATATAACATACTCAACCCTCTGTAATTTAAGACTTGAATAAAAGATGTGATATCTTTTTGTCAACTAACATGTTTCATGTTGCAAGAAAGGTATTTAACATAGCTGCTTAAAGTTATGTTAGGAGACAAAATTGTTTAATTTTAATGTATTATTAGAGAAAAGTGAAATCATATAAACTATTTTTGTTTACACTGTAAGAGGAGTCCTAAAATAGTGGACAGGTATATGTTTAATTAGATATGTTGTAAGATATTTATTGTATATGTTCACTCACATGGAATAAATAATACTTTTAAAGACATACAATGATATTAATTCATTATTCATGTAGGTTTATACAGCTTCAATAAATAATACTTTGAGATAAGAGAGATATACTATGTGCTACTCACCATTGTTGGAGTATGATTATGTATTTTTAGAACTGATAAAAGTATTGCTTCTATTTAGCTCTATGGTGATCAGAGATTTGACTCTTCGTAGTGCTGCTAGCTTTGGATCCTTTCACCTGATTCGTCTTTTGTATGATGAGTACATGTTCTATCTTATAGAACATAAGGTTGCCAAGACTACAGGAGAAACTCCAATTTCAGTCATGGGAGAAGTAAGTGGGTTTCAAGTAGTTGAAGTTTACTAGTGAAAACAATGTATAAAAAAAGTGTGGTTGTGTTGTTAGTCATTGGATCACTTCTCCTCTTATCTAAAGTTACTGATATACTACTACTATAAATATAGTGCTTCTTTTCGCAGATAAAAGTACTCTTAAGAATGTTTGTGTAAAAAATGATATTATTATTGTATTTATTACTTATTTTGGTAGAAAATATATACTGATAAGTATCAGAAGATAACCGACAGATTGTGCTTAGTTTTAACCTATACTTTCAAACTTCTATAAATGAAAGTATAATTAATACATATAATTGATATACCGGGCAGTTACTGACAAGTTTTAAATCTTTGCATTTGTTATAACTTAGTTTATTGGACTAGGAGTGAAACTTGGCATGACATCCAAACTTCCAGCATTACACAGGAACTCCACTGATGCTAGAGAAAATGGATCATCAGAAGATATAACTTCCATAGATATATTACCTCACAGTTCAAGTAGCAGCTGTAGCACTGGTGCCTATAGCAATGGCTTGAAGGATTCAACTTCAGGTTTAACCTCCTTTCAACAAGGATTAATTGGACAGAGTCATCTAGACAGTGACATATTGTCTGAAGCACCATAACTGGATATCACACTGCCCCATTGTACAAAAACCAAGAACATTTGACCCTTTGATGGGCAATTATTATTTGAGAAGGAACTCAGTTATTGAACCTTTCAGAAGTGAACATCAGGGAAACATTGAATTGAACACCCTCGTGCCACGCCAGCAGTTACCTTACCAGAGATGTATTTTTTTTCCACAGATTAATGGACAAGTTTTGCATTTTTTGATCCTTGTAGTAATTGAAGTTCCACCTATTTTATGAAAATCACAAATGTTTGTGGCTTCTTACGACTGATAAAAACGAGCTTCTTTAAAAGGGAAAAATAGTTCTTTTGAAGAGATCTTGTAAACGTGAGTACTGATAATTTCCTAAGTCGTAAATGTGCTTCATCAACTAAATGGCTGTGTAAACATATGAAACTGTAGTATTGTGTGCTGTGTGGTTAACATATCAACAAAAAAGTACTTTGTTGTGTTACTAAGCATTCCAGTACATGCCATAATATTAATATTATATATTATTAACAGTCCACATGGGTGTGGTGTTTGTCTTTACGTGTTTGATGCCAAAGAAGTCACAAAAATATTATATTGATAAAGTTGGAGTATTATGTAGCCATACTTCATGAGTCATAAATTATAAATTTTTATTTAAACTGTCCTGTCTAAATGTGGATACACAATTGTTGTAGTGCTTTGTAACAAACAACTCCTTTAAAACACAAGGGCTTTCATTTTGCTAAGAAACCTTAATCTATTTCAACTTCTGGTCAGCACAGTATACTGATTAGAAACCAAGTTAATGGATAAGAACAAGTTAACAGTTGTTTAAAACATCATTAACTCTGTGATGATAGATTGATTATTTTTATACCAGCCAAGGAATATTACTTGCACTACTAACAAATCAGCCCTATTACTAGTGAAAACTAACCATCACTTAAAAGTTTGTGTAACTATCTTCATTATTAAGATTGCTTATTTATTGATTTAATTACAGGTTTGTGTAAGCATTCATTAATGTACTTTTTATTTAGTTGAAATTCAAGTTAAGGCACAAACTTTATTTTTCATTTAAAAGAAGCTTTGAGTGAAGGATTGTGATATGTATTGGAAAGTACTTACATTCCAAGATATTTTTCATGAACTGTTTGATTGAAAGAACAAATATTTTAACCGAGATTTTTTTATTGTAATTTTCTAAACTGACTATTAAAGTATCATAGTTAAAAATAAAAATGGAGCCATAAACTTTAAAAACTTTTAATTTTGAAATGACTCACTGAGTTTTTTTAGGTTTTTACATTAAAAGAAATAAGTCTATCATTTATCTAAAGATGAATTAAAAATATTTAATAGTTTTTTAATTGTGAAATTATATTCAATTTACTTGTAATGTTTATACAGTGTAGATTGAAAGTAACATACTAAGTTTTTCTTTATCATATTTTTTAGTTAAAATTTCTGTTTTAAGTACACTGTGATACTTGGCTCCAATTAACAAAAAAAATAGATAAGCATGAAATATGTGTAAGTTATTCAAGAAATAAAACACCTTGGTTAGTTATGTTCAACTAGCAAAATTAAAATTTAGTCTAGAATGGTGTTTCCTTGTACTCATCAGTTATAATTCCAAAACATGAAAGAATGATTGTTATGAACACTAATACTCATTGTGTAACTGGTTGTTTTTAGTTTTGTTAATTACATTACTAGTAAGATAGACTTATGCTGGTGACAGTAGTGTCTTTACAGTAAATGTCATTCTGATGAATTACTTTACTTTTATTTAATAATTGTTATTTTGACTTGCTTAATATTTGTGATGGTATGATTTAACCTAAGAGCTTAGTCATTTTGTTTTACTGACTAACATAAGAAAATCAGTTAATGATGTTGAGTTTAAAAAAATACTTCATAGCTCTGCCATTGTATGTAGTGTAGATACAACTAAGCTATGTACATGTTCTTCATTTATTGAAAATTCGTCATTTTTGTACATTACTAAAGCACAGCTTTGCCTAGATGTGTCATATTAGTGTTGAATTTATTCTTCATTTTTTAATCTAGTAAGTATAAATCTGGATAACTAGGAATTTTTTTCTGTTAATAAAATGCATATTAAAAATAAGAAATGGGCCATAATGAATTAAATTGAATTTTGTTTTTAAATTCATTCATCTCTGATAAAATTTTAACAGTGAGACACCAGAGATTTGCCACTGCACTACCAATGCTTGTTCCAATGTCTTTGGTAAAGCTTTTATTAATAACATATCAAATTTTAACCATCATTGTATTGTTTCAGACTTTCCTAATTTATTGTTTTCTTTCTCTGAATATACAGCTTACTCAGTATTATATTTAACATGGATAGCATTGTTTTAAAAAAAAGAATTGTTCCTTTGTTAGCAAAATTAAAGAAATAAGATATTGATTCAAAACACCAAGGATTTTGTAGTTTTGAATTACACTTTAGATGGGGATACAACACCTAAGTACTGTGGGGAAAACATGAATTTGTACTCCACGGTATTATTTAAAATTGATGAACTGAAAGTTTTCAGTCATTTAAAAAGTGGTTGAAATAAATGTGTTTATAAACTACATCTGTATGGTGCCCTTATTTTAATTTTTGGTTGTCTGTTTATCTATGTAGTATTTTTTTTCTTATATTCTTCAGTAATATATGGCAGAGTTAGACTATGCATGATTTGTCTTTTGTATTAGAAAAGTTAGAAATATTATGCAACTAGATTTCAGTTATGCTGATGAATATAGTACAAATTCTATAATATTCTGTTAAACTATATCCATAACTTCAAGTGAATAGTGACTATAGGGAATGGTTTACTTATATATATAATATTCAATCCCATGTTTATAGTTCAGCATCTCTTTCTTATTCATACATTAGATTTACCTTCTATTTTATGTTCATAGATAAAAATTATCATCACACTCTACAATGATAACAATAGAAATGTTTAATTAACTGTATTGAGATACATAAAGTTTGTTTTGAATAAGAATATTGAAAATACTTTTACCAATCCCAGTTTTCTTGAAAATAGGATGTCGTTGAAGTTTAAGAAACTCGTATGGTATTTGCAACAAAAAACTCCAGGGTATGAATACATACGTGTACTGCTTCTTGAAAATAAGTTAGTTTTAAAACTTCTTAAGCTTTAAATCAGAGCCCAGAAAAACACCTATTCATTCCATTTTGAAATAGAAAATGATACATCCTAGCAATGTAGTTACACAAAGCTGGATCACAAGTTTTAAAAATTACATCTCTTCACCACTTGCGTATAAGAATGTGAAGAATTTTCCATGATTTATACCTTCAAAAGCAAGTATGAATACATCTTCCATAGGTGGTGGTTTGATATTTAAATATAAAAAGAGAAAAAAAAGACACAGGTAATAAATTTTTATTAATACATATCAGTTCTCCACAAGTTCTTGATTACAAGGAGTTTTGACATGCAAGATTGTCTTTACAGACTTGCCATGGTTACATTAGAGACATTTGCTGTAATATATAGCCTGACACTGTTTTACTGTAAAAATGAAATAATAAAACAATATTTCTTTACAGTAGATTATTAGATTGTTAACAATATTAGACAAATGGCACATTTATCAGTGAATAAAGCCAAGTATAAGACAATACAAAAGTACCATTCACCAAGAAGAACCCTGGTTTAATTATAAACCACTGTTTCTCATATATTAAAAGAACTATGTTATTCCTTGAATTTAGTTTTATACTATTTCAACCAAAAATAATTTACTATTAAAAAAAGGTTATTTAACATTTATCAGTTTTATATGGAATCCATATACAATCTTTTCTCTACAAGTGCTATTAAAACACAAAACAAATACTAGACAAGGCTTGTTAAATTACATTTTGATCATAATTTTAGGATTAACTGTGTTATAAGCAGCTGTGCAGACTTTACATTACTGAACCGTGTTATGTTATAAAGCAATATTTATTCAAAGACTTTTTTTTTGGATATTCTAAAAGTTTTTATATATATATAGGCTAAATTCCTTAATGGTGTTACACGGTCACATGAAGTTGTCCACTTGTGAAGAAACCTTAAATTTACACTGATCAACGAAATACAAAGTCTAGCAGTCATATTTTGCAACAAAAAAGTCTGACAGGACATTGATTGACTATCCTTTATTAAAAAAGAACTATTAATACTCAAGTTTTGTAAGTATCGAAGAACTTTGGTAGTTTGTGTCCAGACATATTTTTCTGAATAGAATGTTGCGTTACTTTCCAAAAATTCTTGTTTTATTATTCACCATATATGGATGCAAATAAATTAAAGAGTGAAGCTTGATAGTTTCATAAGATATCTGAAATTGTAACTTTGTGAATTTCAAGTGCTTGAAGCTAAATAATGTTTAAAAGATATACTTGGTCACTTATTCAGCTAGAATGTTACAAACAAGCAAATTTAAGACTTCTCGTGAAATATACACCAATATTTAAACATTCATTTTCCCTAAGTTTTAAAAATGTCCCTCAGCCATACTGTATGATGTAAATAAAATTTTATTAGAATAAAATGTACAGACAAAAAGAAAAATGTAACTATACATTCTTGTAAACCACCAAAAAAAGTCCCAAAAAATTGTGTATTGGAGTCCTTAAAAACTTAAGGTTTCATGATAACGTTTTTGTTTATAACAATTTCTAAACAATGCAATCTTATATTTTTAATAAAATACATATCTTAAACTTGAAAAATATATGATAAATTAGTTTAAGAAAAAATGATTCATATTTTACTTAAACATCAACTCTCTCCTCAGAAATACCTACAGTTAAAAAAAAGTTTCTTTGCACATGTGCTATTTCCATATCACTGATGAACAACAATGTAAAGTGTTTGTAAAGATGTTCAATAAATTAATAGGTTAAATCTGTGAGCTATATTGAAAATGTAAAGAAGAAAAGTCAGTTACTGTTGCTAACTGTTAAAAGCAGTTACATAGTTACTTAATGTGGAAGCATTTAGATAACGTTGGTCAACCACTGCTTTCCCTGCGTTTCTTTTGCTCAGTTAACATGTGTGGTTGCAAAAAATTCTTAAAGAAAGAACGAGAAAAACTCATTGATATCATCATTACAAAAACAAATCAGTACTCCCAATCCTCTTATCTGTTACTGTTTGTCTATCATTTCAAGTCATGTACTGAAATCATAAAATAAACAAACATAATGACACTTATGTACTTTACACTGGACCTAACTTATTCTAGCAACAGAGTAGTTTATTATGAAAATCATCACTACTTTAATCTGAACTGAATAATTAATTCAAAAATAGAAAAACAGCAACTTTTACAGTACACTAGCTTTGTAATTACTGCAACATTTCGACTCATAATATCAGGTCACCATTTTACATTAAAAAAGACAGTTGAATTTCAGAGAATGTCGCAGACTCATAATTTAACATTTTCTAAAGTTCAACTATTTTTTTGAATGTAGCTTTTATCTGATACTGTGGGTGGAAACATTGTAATCTTTATAATCAGAACTTGCCTATTGTAAAAGTTGCTATTATTGTATTTTTGAATTATCATTAGCATTACTTTCTCTGTCATGTTACAACAAGAAACTCGATGACTGTAAAGTAAAATTAGTATATTTTTAAAGGCTGTTTTACTTAATCCTATCCAAGTAGATGGCACAACTTCTTGTTTTATCCAAATCTCATTCAGTAGTGCCATACAATCTGTAGGAGATTGCATTTATATCTAAAACAATTATGAAATAAACTTTAATACTTTAATTTAACATTCATTTCATATTGAAACTTGGAATACTATGAAGAGTTACAAGATATAACAGAGCCATTCTTAAAGAGAAGGCATGAGGTACACATGTCATCCTAATAACAAAAAATATTTCACTTTCAAACCAGTTTTTGCATTAAGGTCTTGTCATTAGTAAAATAATGTTTTTACTATACAACAATAATAATATGGCAAACTTCAATAAGCCTAGATAGCATACAAATGTACATAAAATACATCGATTACTCTTACTATGTCATATGAAACATTTATCAGTATAGCATTACAAATACCAAGCAATTACAAATGGTACACCACACAAGAAAATATTTTTATAGGAAAGTAAAAGGTTGGACGGCTGGGTTACAATACAACTGTTATAATATTTCTCAGGCAACCTTTCTTAGTAAATACTTGTCACTAA